GAGTTCAGCTGGAAGTGTATGATCCGCTTTTTTAATCACACCAACCCAGAAAGCACATTTAACTGGAGGGGGAGCCATGTGCTGGAGAAAATGTGGGCACAAAGAAGCCAGTCACTGGCACATCTTTTGGGAATGCCGAGTGGTTAAACCCTTCTGGATAGAGCTTCATAAAGTACTAAGTGGTCTATTCAACTCTAATCTACCTATGCAGTTTCCCACATTATTTTTAGGAAATCTACATCTACAGATCCAGACAACTGATGCATCCTTATTTAAGGTTTCAATAACCACTGGTAAAAAAGTAATTACGAGACATTGGTTACTCCCAGATCCACCCACAATACAGGATTGGATAACTACAGTAAACGACATCTAACTTATGGAAAAGGATTTCCTTCTCCCTTCGCCTTCAGAAAGATATACTTACTAAACGATGGACCAAATGGCTAAAATATGCAGGCCTTAAATAGACAGCACACTAGATTTCTAACCTGTATCTCTCATACCCTACTTCAAATCCCTTAAGGTGCACTTACTGTGCTCCCATACTGACTTGTAAATTCCCCTACATTTCATTAACATGTTAGGTTTGCATTAACTCTGACTACGTTTACATGCAGCCAATATCCGGGTTATGATCGGGTTAAGGTCGGTATTCGAGTTTCTGAGTTGATCAGAATAACCCGTTTACAAGCATAAATAGAAAAGAGTTACCCCTAACTTGCAAAACCCGATTTAAATGCGGACGTTGGGGTAGCGTCAAGACGTATGGACTACGTCCAGACGCAATATGCCTCATTTCCGGTTCTTCTTGTTCCGGTATCCGTGAAAACAACAACATGTTTCCCAGTTCGGAAGAGATAGCGACCACGTTTGTTTGTGCTTTAGTTTCCTCGTCACTCCAAAAGTGTGGTGCTGTGCCGCGACTCGCCATTTTGCTCCCAACTTGTTTACTTCCGGTGTTCTGGCGCATACGTCTCGCTACTGAAAAGACCAAGATTCCTTGCGAACAGAGCATGTGCAGAACACACGCTTTGATGGGGATATCCCAATATGCGTTTACACGACCAAACATTCGGGTCAGAAAAGGGTTACCCCAGGTGTAGTAACCAGGTTTTTAAAAACCCGGTTATGAGCATATGCAGGTTTTTGGCGGTGTTTACAAGGACCTGCGGAACCGGGTTATTGTGAATATTCGGGTTTTAAAAGGGTTACTGGCTGCATGTAAACGCACTCATTCACTGCCATTCATTTGCATTTTTTTTTTACTGTGTGGGCGTCGGAACGAGCCCCCGCACCGTGAGAACAAACATCTCAGCTCTACAGCCGATCTTCATCTGCATACATCACACGATCAGGATGCAGAAAGTCCATGTGTTAGGTGATTGTTTTGGGCCGCAGCTGTAAAAAAAAAGTGAGGCGCGAACCGGAAAAGCTTCTGCAGATCACAATTCAACAACGGATTATGAAAGAACCGATAACGCTCGAAACACGCGGATTCTTCCTGATATAAGAGGTGACTCTCCGCTTTGTTTGGTGTCGACATCATCCTAGCGTGCAATGTTCTGTGACTCTTACAAAAACAGTAAAAAGGGCGAGAACTGCTGGCAGCAAAGGGCTTTACCGATCAGAAAATGGCTGGCAGCGAATGAGTTAACATGTTTATGTTTATTTATTTGGCAGACGCTTTTATCCAAAGCGACGTACAATTTTTAACTTGTAGGGCATGTTGTGATCTGTAGGGGAAACCCGAGTACCCGGAGGAAACCCAAGCATGCATGGGGAGAACATGCAACTCCACGCAGAAAGGCCACAGCCGAGTTTCGAACCTGCAACCTTCTTGCTGCGAGGCAACAGTGCTAACAACTGCACCACCATGCAGCTCATCATGTTAAACAATGAGCTCTATTTTAATAATTTATCTGACTGTTAAAAGCATAATTCAATTAACGTATGATCAGAGTCTAACGTCAGTGTGTCTTGAGTTATTTTTATTTCAGGGTGAGAATGGAAAACTTGGGTGGCATGCTTTTCAGCCAAAGTAGAGTTTACACTCCAAACACCACTCTTGTAGCCACAAATTTAACTTTCTCTGGTTGTTCATGCAACCGCTAGCAGCACAACATGTTCCCGAGAAGGGTGAATACTTTTTTAAAAACTTCTTAAAATGTACAACAAAAAATATACGCTACTAGCAATGAAACCTCACCATGCAAACCAATGGCTTTGAGCTACCTCTAATCTCACTAGATGTTTCTGCAGCCACCTCAGGAATAAGATAGGTAGTTGTAGGATTTACATGAGATAAACAGGTTTATTAAACTATTATTAGTTCAGATTTTCGGCTTAAAGCCTAAATCAGTGATGGAGAGGACGGTTCTTTTCTGGTCCTGCTGGACCTGACTGCAGCCTTTGACCCTGATGACCATCACCTGCTACTGGGTAGGCCTATCAGGATCTACTTTGGAGCGGTTCTCCTCTTATCTGTCTGAGCGTTCCTTCTCTGTGGCCATCTCCAGGTTTAGCTTTAGGTTTAGGTTTTGTGGTGTCCCACAAGGTTCTGTGCTGGGGCCTCTATTCTTCCTCCTCTATCTGCTTCCTGTTCAGCACATTCTGAGCTCCTTCAAAGGAATCTCTGACCATCTTTTTGCAGATGGCATCCAAATGTACATCTCCTTTAAGCCCCATGAGATGTCTAAGCTGCAGCTGTTACACACCTGCTTAGAATCTATCAAAACCTGGATGGCTGGGAGCTTTCTACAGCTGAATGAAGATAAGACTGAGATCCTCATCTGTGCCCCAGACAAGCTGGTTCCCAAAGTCAGAGACTCTCTTGGTCAGTTTGCTTCTCACACCAAACCCTTCTTCAGGAATCGTGGCATGACCTTTGACCCAGCTCTCACCCTGGATTCTCTTGTCAGTTCTCTTGTTCGCTCTTCCTTCTTCCATCTCAGGAACGTTGCAAAGCTGAGTCCCATTTTGCCTTCAGTTGATTCTTTTATATTTATTTCATCTCCAGAGAGAATAAAACATACACATTGTGTTGTTAAAGTTTTACGTTGAAGAGTTGAGTCTTCATTTCATGTTAAAGCAGAATAAAAACAAATCAGTTTTTTTTCTTCTTCTTCATCATAAAATCTAATAAAATGACCTCTGACCTTCTGAGTGGCGCTAACCCGCCGTACTTCTGTTCTACAAGCAGCTAACTACTCTACAGATGTTCTACAGCTCTACTCCAGATGTTTACCTCTGGACGTCTGTTTGCACCTGTGGAGGATTTTTCCAACCGTATAAAGAACTGATGAATGCCAGCGAGGACAGAAGCAGAAACAACAGTTTACTCACATCTCAGAGCTGATTCTACTAAATACATCAAACAGGAATAAATAAACAGGTTTGCTGTCTTCTGAGCGAACATTTGAAGGTCTGGACGACGGTTTTATAGAATAAAAGAAGGATTTTCACCGTCAGGATTAATTCTGGAGAACATTCTGGTGACCCTGTTAAACCTCCAGCATGAAGGACGACGCTGATCCCATTAGAGCTAGTTTCTACTTCCTGTTTAATTAACTCCTCTATAGAGCTCTGTACATCACGTGACTCTCAGAGAGTAGATGCCATGTTGGCAGGCAACAAAGGTAAACAAAATGAACGAGATCGGCTTGGATTTTACTCCGTCAAAGTTTACTTCACACATTAAAACAGAAGAAATTGTTTTATGTAGTCAGAAATTAAATAGACTAAACATCTCCGACCCTTACTATGCCCCTGGGATACTTTTTAAAAATGCCAGAAGCTGTCGGAGCGGACTTCTTACCGGACCTGGCCGGGGAACCCCTTGGGATTTCCCTGGAGGAGCTGGCCCAAGTGGCTGGGGAGAGGGAAGTCTGGGCCTCTCGACTTAGGCTACTGCCCCCGTGACTCGACTCTGGATAAGCGGATGAAAATGGATGGATGGATGGACAAATACATGTCAGAAGTTTAAACGGAGTGCTGTGTTGTTTTAATGTATAAACTGAACGCCAAGAGAAATCACTAGTTTGATTTTTTTCTGTGAATAAAATAAATATGTCAGGCAGGAGCGTCTCAGGATCTGTCTGAGATCTGTCTCGGTGAGACAGATAATAGCAATCCAAAGTGCTTTTTATGTGTGATCTGACAATTGATCAACCATTGCTTAAAAATTAAATACAGCTTAGTCGGTTAACTGTTGTAATTATAACAAACGTAAACGGCAGCACGCAGAAAAACGAGGCAACGTTTTACGTGATGTTTACTTGTTGCTATGAGTAATAAGACAGAAAAAGCCAGGCCAAAATAAGTTTAGGAAGCCCACTAAGAATCGTAATAAAAGCATTTAAAATAAATATCATACACAGTTGAGGAAACGTTGGTTTAAGTACCTGATATGAAGTGGTCGCTGCATAAGTGAAAACCTTTACTCTCGGGATCCCACAGTTTCATTTTAGCCCGGTCACTAGCGCGTTTTATTACAATGATCCAACGTTTGCGGCGCTCCGGATCTTGGGTAATACTGTGGTTGGCTCATTCCTTATGTCGTCCGTGTCTGTTCTGCATCCTGGGGCACAACAAGAATCTACCATATTTCCCGTTTGATTGAGTTTTCTGACAATAACAAATAGTCCAGCTGTGGGCTTCTGCCTGCCAAGATGGCGCCGTTTCAATTTGAACTGTTGCATGCCGGGAGAAGTGACGTCAACTCCCAGAGCTCTATAAGCTTTCATAAAACCAAACTCCAGTTCAGTCTGAGATGTTTCATCAAAGCTGCAGGTGGAGAAACATCAACCTTCTCAGAGGTTAAAGGAGAAATGTTTCTTGTTTCCATGGTTACCAAAATTAAACTTTTTACATTCTGTTTTAGTGTTTTACACCAAATGAACCTTTAAAGTCTCTTTTTATTCCTGAGTTTTATTATCAGATTAAATCCTGTGTGGATGAATTAAACAATCCTGTACATGAGGAGGCGGGGCTTGTCATACCTGTCACCTGGGGAACGTAGGGGATGGAGAGCCTCTCCACGTTGTACCCTGGTCCAGCTAGACACTCGGCCATGTCAGATGCCTGGAAATAAACCTGCCTGTCATTTTTATCCAGAGATTCTGGGAGCCTGTTGGAAAGCACAGATTGGGTCATAATCAGATTTCATTATCAGATTTAAAAGTTTCAGATGATATTTATAGACCATTAATATGTTTTCTGGTGTGAAATCCTTCTGTTAGTTAAATGATGTCACTGTGTTGGCGTTGCACAAGATAACCTGAAGTTAGATAAAAAATTATTCCAGAAAGATTTAGATGCTAATCTGGGAACACCAGACATTTCATGCTTGAACCATAAGGAGAAAACAAGCTCGCTACGGCTCACCTTAGACGAGAAGCAGATTACTGTTAAAGGAGCAAAAGTAAGAATCTTTTGTGAAATAATCACAAAACTATGACGGCATATTACCATCAGTGTGGGGAAAAGATAAGATAAAGGGTCAGCATCTCATAACGAGTTTAACAACTCGTAATAATGAAATCTAACGATGAATCATCGACATCGAGGGACATTTGATTCTTTGTCCAGCAGAAACCGAGTGAGTGCTTCTTTTTAGGAGAAGCAGTTAGTTAGAGGAACACGTCGGTCAGGCCGTCCTCCAGCAGCCCTCACTTGGATTTTCTTGTTCATGCATAATTGTGATACTTCCACTTTGTAGCTGAGGTGCAGCTTTCAAAGTAAAAGTTGACTTCCTGTTTGTGTTCTTTCACATTTAAAAACTTTAAAAGTGTTGTGCTTTAATAAAATGATCTGCATAATAAGTCTGTCTTGACATGACATGTTCCCTTTGTGTGGGACATCTGTGGGTGTTTTTAGTGTTGCGTGGCAAAGCTGACAGAGGGGAGAGCTGGCAGGCGAACCGTTGTCCAGCGCTTTCGCCCCGTTGTTATGGTGCTGCGGTACACCCTAAACGTTAAACATCATGCCTCCTTCATCCTGAGGAGAAAGCCATGTGTAGCAGCCGTTTTACTATTACGACCTTTCTCATTTTTATGAGTTTTTAAACATGTCATCTCAAGAAACATTATCGTTCAAAAGATTGTATATGTCGTTATGATAATGTTTCTCGCTAAAGCAGGATTTATAACATGTTTATTATGGGAAACGTTCTGTTATTACGAGATTCTGATCCCTAATCTTTTCGTTGCACTGGTGGTAATACGTTTCTGTACTAAACAATCTAACCCAGGGGTCTCCAACCTTCTGGAGACCGTGAGCTACTTTTACACAATAAAAGCACAGAAGAGCTACCACCATAGGATTAATTCACACTGATACGATCCATGTCAAAAATGCTATACTTACTATATTAACATGCATTGTACTCACAAGTTGATTTATCTGTATTTTAATACATCAGTATTGTAAATACAGTAAAAGGAAAATAGTGACATTCCTGTTTTGAAACTCAAACTAAATGAAACATTTTGTTTTTTGGCTAACCAGATAACGAACAACAAATCTACATTTGTTAGAATGGACGGGTAAAACAACCCTCTGAGCACAAAGGAGCAGCTAACCTGTTCCTGGTCAGGCCCTGACCCCGTGCCCTGCCCTAAGCAGCAATGTCAGCTTTTTATGTTCAGCTATTTTGTCATAAATTAATGAAAACTATAGAATGCCGTTTAAATAACATTTAATGTTCTTTAAATGGTGTTTAATACAAAACCTTTCCAGTAACAGGGAGCCTAACCCCGGTTTCACACTGCAAGCATCAGCAGAACGGAACAGCAGCGGAGCGGCTCACTCGCGAACTTCAAAGCGGTCCTTTTCACACCGGGAGTCTCTTGGCCACGGCACGGCTTCCTCGCTGCGCCTCGCTGTACCCGCAAGATTCTAAAATCCCTCGAGACTTCCGACACCTTCCTCATCGAGAGATCACAACCCCCGCGAGGAATCACACTGTTGCACTTCTCGAAAGAAACTGGTAGTAAACAAAGCCGTTCGGTCACACGTACCGACGTAAGTTATATACAACATTGCAAAGTTGCATTTTATTTTGAAAATAACCGGGGATTTTACACTGAAACCATGTGGTTTCCTGTCTCGCACTATGTGAATTGCGGAAATTGACGTGTCCCAGAAGCGGCTCGTGGGAAAAATAGAACTCGATCCTATCTTTAGCAGCGCGGCAAGGCATGCCGCTTCTGGGACGCGACTGGAAATTGACGCGTCGCGGCTGGTTTGAAACACTCCATAGAATATAACTGGATTCTATTTGAAGCGGTGCCGCTTCGCTGCCATTTCTTTCCGCTGATCTGCTTGCAGTGTGAAACTGGGGTTAGGCTCCTCCCTTTCCGGTCAGCTAACGGGTCCCTGGATGGGGCTAAAATCGCTATTTTCCAACCCGCTCTGCCTTACACCCTGGATCGCACACATGATGTACTGCAATTTAAATGAAAAAAATGATGTACTTTGAGATTTATCTGCTTGTAAATGTTGGTAGTCAGCATGACTACACATCAGACATCGGCACGTCGCATATGTGACATCACCACAGAATCTCCACCCTCCTAGCATAGCTGCTACTTACCACATGACCAGATTTATGATGGTTCTTTCTAGGGATGAGCCGGATATTCGTTTCAGACAAGTATCCGGTACAAAGCATTTTTGAAGATTATGAGCATGAAACGAGTAAAACTCGTAAATATCTGTAATCGTGCTGAAGGAAAATCCTCATTGGGTAACTGGCTGTCTTCACGCTCTGTGATTGGCCAGTCACATAGAGCGCCACCCGCCCTTCCCTACACACAAAACTCTGCAGCCGGGAGCTCAGTCCGTCCGGTCCATCCATGCACACACAGACAGTAACAGATCTCTCTGTGCTTGCTTCACTGTTGCTCATGTTTCTTCAGAACTCCCTGGGTTTTCTTCAGCTCGCCTCTTTTTCGGTTTAATATTTAAAGTTACTTTTTTCATAACGGACGTGGTGCATTTGACAAGACTCAGCTGAAAACGGTGCGTGCTGCGTCGGTCACTGCCTCCGTTCGGGTGTTTTTTTCTTTCTTTCTCTCACACACACGCACGCACGCACGCACACACACACACACACCTTAATCAACATTGTTTTGTTTAACTGTGTGGGAAAACGCCAAGAACGTTAGAAAAAAAATCTGTTTAATCAAAAAAATAAAAGCTGAGTCTAGTTCTAGTATTTCATATTTCCTAGTTCCTACTGTATGAGTTCAGATGTATTAATACTTGCACTTCAATTAATTAAATATTAATGCTCTGATTTCATGGAAAAACTTGGTTCTGTAATAGTTCTTTTACTATTGTGACCAAAAATATTTAATCTCAATTCTGAGGCTGCTCTATAAATAGTTTTCAAATAAACAATGCCCATAGCAACTTCTGATCAATCATATTAATTTCAGATAAAAAATAATGGATTGATGTAGACCACACCCACTTCCGGGGTAGGTCACACCCACTCCGAGTACAGATACAGATAGTTTAGATGGTTGAACAGATACAGATAGTGGTGTACTCGCTCATCCCTCGTTCTTTCCTTCTGAAGGAAGGATTGGAAGTTTGCTGAACTCACAGCCATTTTCCCTGTTCTCTGTGTCTGGTTCGATTACGACACTATGGTGATGCACATTTGTAGTCCTGGACTTATTTTCACACAAAACCTAAAATAATGTTTCCGTCTGTTTAAAAATAAGAGCGTTCTTGGTATCAAAATGTGTCTTTAAAATTCACGGACATCATATGTGAAATCCATGGAACATAACAAGCGGAATTAGAAAATAGCGTTTTTAGCCCCGTTGACTTGCGTTCATTTTTTCGTTCTTCCTGGGACCCGAGGTCTGGAAGTAGATGGGCGTGGCTTAGGCTCCCTTTTATGTTATAATTATTTTTTTTACAAACAATGCAAAACAAAAATTCTCATTACATGAATACAATTGAAAATATTTTCAATAAAATAGAAGCTAAACGTGATGAAAACACAAAAGCAGAGGATGTACTTCCTGAGGCAGCTGAAGTACAGCACAGTCGATGAGGCGGTTCTACACCTCAGTCATCGAGTCCATCCTCACCTCCTCAATCACCGTGCAGTACGCTGGAGGTACCTCCAGGGACAAGAAGAAGCTGCAGCATGTTGTGCGCTCTGTTGAGAAGGTAAGTGGCAGCAAACTCTCCTCCATACAAGACCTGCACACCTCCAGGACACTGAGGTGTGCAGGTCGGATCACAGCTGACCAGTGTCACTATGGACACAGTCCTTTTATGGAAACAGTTCTTTTCCCTCTATGGTCAGACTCATGAATGACAATCGTAGACCTGCCCACTCCAGCTGCTTGTTTCCGTCACATGACTCTGTGTTGTGTTTGTACCTGGACTGACCCGCTCTGACCAGTACCTACACTGACTTGTATATAGCTGCTTCACTAAAAATTGATGCTCTACTTTACTATCATTTCACGGAAGCAAAACGGTCTGCTAGCAATTTTGGTTGGACAGGGATTGTAATCAGAGGTATGATGGTTAATAAAGAGAGCTTGGGTGTGGATCAGTGCCACCTAGTGGAGATGCCGCAGGTTGCATCCAAGCTCTCCACTTCCTGACTTGAATAAAAAGCCTTTGATGTGACTGGATACTTACTGACATTTGTCTCTGAAGACATGTTCAGGAAGGAGATACGGAGCGTCCAAGTTCCTCAGCTCAATCACCTGAAGAGGAAAAACGTTTAATTCTCCAGGAACAAAAACTAGATTTAAAAGTTTGATGTACGAGAGCATCATCAGCATAGAGGAGAAACTCCCATCTGCAAGTTAGATTAGGAACAAGGGGGATTAAAACACACCTTACTGACGTGTTGACACAAAGGCAGGTGGGCGATCATCTTACTCAGGAAGTTCAGGTATGCTGCCACGAGCGCCATGATGCCACAGCGGATGAACATGGGCATGTTCTCCTCATTAGCCAGCGCCATTTCCTGTTAAAGAGTCATTTAAATGGATCCTAATCTGCATCTGAGATGTCAGATCATCGTCAGTAACATTCTTAAGGATCCTCCTGCAGAACCTCAGGTGGAGTCCTCCTCTAAGGCTGCAGGAGGCAGGCTCCTCTGGACCTTTAAAGGTAGCTGGAGGCCGTTCTGCTGTCTGAATATGTTCTCACGCTGTCAGCATAAAGGTTGTTGTCACGGCAACGACCCCAGAGCGACAGCTCTGAACATGCTTGTTTACAGGCCGACGGGTCGCATGAGGCCGCTGATAACAGGAAAGAGTCTAACCTAAAAACCACAGATTTAAACACGAGAACAGGAGAACGATCCCTCCTGGGTTCTGCAGGAATCCATCAGTCTGGTAGAGAATCTAATTTAGTTATATTCAAATAACAACTTACAGCATTTATTTGTGATTTATGAAAAATGATTCTGGTTTTAAATGTTCAGCTTGAATTGGGCGATTTGCAACACGTTCAGGTCTATTTCCATGCTGTCGTTCTTTTTTAAAACACAGAACAGTGTTGTTACCTGTTTCCTGCTACGTTTCGTTTGCGGCTGCAAACTTCCTCAGGCTGACGCTGATGGTGGCGTCACTTCCTTCTCCGTTTATCCGCGGGCAGCAGAGGAAGTTGTCGCCCTCTGCTGCCCGCTCTCCGACGAAGCAGTCCCATGCGCGGTCCAACGTGTAAACTCCATCGTCTCTGTTCATGGTCCCACATCCACGTCTCACCATGGGACCATGAACAGGGACGATGGAGTTTACACGTTGGATCGCGCATGGGACTGCATCGTCGGAGAGGGGAGAGCGGGCAGCAGAGGGCGACAACGTCCTCTGCTGCCCGCGGAAAAACGGAGAAGGAAGTGACGCCACCATCAGCGTCAGCCTGAGGAAGCCTGCAGCCGCAAAAGAAACGTAGCAGGAAAACAGGTAACAAAACTGTTCTGTGTTTTAAAAAAGAACTACAGCATGGAATTAGAAATACGACACAGCAACAACACACCTAAGACGTGCAGGTCTTCTTTGTAGACGTGTCACTTCCAGAATCACAATTATAACGATATTTTAAAATCTGCTGATTTTAAATCAGCGGCTCAGTGCTGATCACTATGGGCTCTTTTCTGGAGGAATGTGTCTAATGAGGAAAACAGATGTGAGTGTCGGCTTCACCTGCAGAGCCATGGAAAGCCTGATGAGGTCGATGACCACCTCCTCGTTGGCCAGCTCGATGGTCAGGATGGCTAAGGTGGTGAAGAGAAGCTCGAAGTTCTTGTGGACGTTGTCCTCCTCTTTGCAGCCCAGATAGATGTGACGGTAGAGCTGCTGACCGTGCTGAGGAAGAGAAGGTTTTAGACCGATTTAAATCAGATGACAGAGGAAAACAACTTAGAATTCTTCATCCTAAACCAGAAGGAATCAGGACCAAGTCAATCTCTTGGGAGAGGAAAGCAGACCTGCCAGCCTTGTCAAGATTTTCCAGGTACCACATGCTCGCCGTTTTTTTCACAAACTTTTGCAACTCCGTTGCTTTCCATGCTAGGGTAGGGCATTGTTTGATTCTGAATGATTCCAATTCAGATTCCTTGTTTCGATTCCGGTTCCTATCAATTCCCGATTCTTTCAAGACATGACATGTTTTAAATGAGCTAGCTAACCACAGGTCCTTCTTGATGAAATAATCTTAACTTCAACATGAATTTTAATTCTATGAACAATAACATCACCTTCATTTAGACAAAAACATGTTTTGGAGAAACAAAGAAAGAGACTTGCAGCACAACCAGTGTGTTTGTTTCTGACCACAACCAAAGTCTGGAAGAAGCCTCTGGGATGAGAGGCTAAATGTCTCCAACATATCAGAAACGTCCAGCTGTTTTCAGCTAAAACTCTCAGGATGATCATGTCCAGGATGACTGAGGACTACACCTCCATGCTGCAGCAGCATTCAGTCAGAACAGAAAGTGAAACTTAAATGTAGCTGGCTGTGTCTGACTGCTGACGCTCCGTGTGTGTGTTTATTTCTGCAGTGAAACAAACTCACCTCACACCGTCCAGAGTTTGTTCTTTAAAGCTTCTAGTAAATCCACCATGTTTATGTATTTTAGCAAGTTTGTTCTACGCTGCAGGAGTTAAAGTTTACATTACGGAGTAAAAGTTCCGCAGACACGTTTGTTCTATATTTGGCCGCTGAGCGCTGGGTGGGGGGAGGGGAGACTCGGTGCTGCACACAGCTGGTGTGATCAGCTCTGAAAAGCGTTGACCACAATTTGCAGATCACATTTATTTTTCACGGAGATCGGCCGTGGATTCCTCTTCTGGTTGGCATTCTAGGTATTGAAACTAGGAATCGAAATAAAAAACTTTGAACGATTCAGGGAAAAAAGAACAGTTGGAACCGGATTCAATCGATGCTCAATGCCCAACCCTATTCCACTGTTAAGATAATTATAAGTGTTTTATTTTACCATGATTTTTGCTTTTATTACATTTAAAGATTTTACCATTTATGCTGAACAGTTGTTGTATTGTTTGAAGTCTCATGAGGAGACTTTAAGAATGCTGAGCCTTGGTCCTGACCTAATGTGACCCAAGGACATCTGCTGACTTGGACAACTGCTGACTCGTGCAACTGTCTGTTGCACATTGTGTGATTAGACACTGATTAGAAAAACTGAATGCTCTTTGTGTGAAACTTGTAACAATTACTAAAAACTGAGAGCTGTGATTTCCCTCCATCCTTCAGTGTCAGCTCTCAGGCATGTACCTAGGGACTCGCCCAGCTTGTAATAAAAGGACACGCTGGATTTCAAAGGCAGAGTGGTTTTGGAGGATCTGCCGGTACAGTGGAGACTGTGCTGGTCAGACCTTATTTCCATTCTTCTCGAGCAGAATTCTGACTTTGTGTCTCTTTTCTTCTGTTGTGTATGATGTGTTAGGGGTTTAAACCTGGCATTAATTTGGTCCTACGAGAGCCGGATTCCAACATATTCAAAGATTCCAGGTGACCAGGTGACATCCAGAAGACTATGGCCACAGCAGGACCTTTAGGTGTGAGTCCTTCAGACCTTTTTCGGGACTGGGTGTTGCCCCTGTCTTCTGGAATCTGCGAATTGAAGCAACTCCGAAGGAGAGAGACACAGAAGGGGTCGTCGGAGACCTGATACATTCCATAAGTTTATCTCACTTTAAAAAGTGTGACTGAGTGAAAAAGACCTGTGAGATTCTAGACCCTCACACAGGCAATAAAATATTCCTAAAGTTAGGGGACGGATCCCTGGAATTATCCGTGATAAAAGGAGGACTTTAAGCTGTGTGACTACACAAGTGTGATTGGATACTTGATTACCACTAGGTGACGCAGTATCAATTAAAACAGTGAGAATAATCCTGAGCGACCCTTGTGGATGCAAAGCTAAGAATTCTCCACCTGAATAAGGTAGAAGTGAGAATTACCACAGCGGAACTTGGCTCAATCTCACTGAAAACCAGCGTTTAGAACCCCCTATGGGTTAACCCCACACTGGTCCAAAACTTTAAAATGCTTTTAGAACAAATCACCAAAATTTGGTAGCAATTGTAATTACAATAATCCTCATAAGCCTAAAATATGCAGGATATATGAAAGTATAAAAAAACAGGCATAGATTCTAGATGAAAGCAACAGTAGATATACACCTTAATGATTGGGAACTCGACGGACGGGTCACTAAAATAAAGGTAACCATCTGCGAAAATCCTGATGATACGCATGAGATATTATTAAGAGAGTTCTATGAGATTTTGATCCCAAATTTAAACCCAGCAGAAGTCATAATATGGCAGTGTAGGTTTTTTCCGTCTGATCTTTTTTCAGCAGGACTTCTCGTATGTTGCAAGATTATTTTCTGGCATAAAATTAAAGTGACGTTTATCTAATAAATCTGTAAATTAAAGAACAGAACAATGGGAAAAGGTTCTAGTAAACTTGAGAACCTGAAATGCCAAGACTGGAAGATTGTTAAATTTAAATACCCAACCAAATTACAGCATTTGGAGAAGTGGGTGACAAAATATGGTTTTGAAGAAGACTTAGTTCAAACAAATGTTTAAAATTAGAACATATTGCAGAGAAGTGCAAACATGATAAACGTAAAATGGAAAAACAGGACGATTTAGATTTAGAATGGTGGGAAAAAGTAAGCAAAAGCAGGGAGGAAAGAAAAGAGAGAGAGAGAGTTGCAGGCAGAGCAGAGGAGAGAGGAGAAGGAGGACAATTAATGTTTAACAGAAAGGAGGATGGTACAGGACCTGCAAGCGGTGAATAATGCTGTTGTACAACGAGCTCCGTGCATCCCAGATCTATACACGCTGCTACATTCTTTAAGAACCGACGCCCACTACTTTACAGTGGTCGATATCAGTAACACATTTTTCTCTGTACCTGTGGCACCAGACAGTCAGTTTTGGTTTGCCTTTACCTTTACGGGTCAAAGGTACACTTACACAAGGTTGCCTCAAGGGTACTGCGAAAGCCCAACAATCTACTCTCAGTTGATGTCAGCCAGCATGACAAAATTTAATCCTCCATGCGGCAGCCAAATTCTACTTTACGTAGATGATGTCCTTCTCGCCTCACCTGATGAGCAGAGCTGTAAAGCAGATACAGTTGCTCTGTTGAAGCATCTAGCCAAAGAGGGATACAAGGTCAACAAGAACAAAATGCAACTTTGTAAGACCAAAGTAAAATATTCAGGTCATGAGCTCAGTAAGTGAAGGCAGAACAGTTTTCGAGGAGAGAAAAACTGCAATCTTACAAGCTCCTGAACCTCAGACAAAGGCACAAATGATGCCTTTCTTAGGACTGACTGACTAACTACTGCAGAAACTGGATCCCAAACTATGCAGAAATAACAGGTCCTCTGCAGAAACTAATGTATGAAGAAAACGTTAAAATGACTGACAAACTAAGATGGCACCCTGAAGCCGAGACAGCTTTCTATAATCTGAAACAGGCACTGGTTTCTTCATCAGCCCTTGCCCTGCCAGATTATCAGAAACCATTTGTTCAAATGGTAGACTGCAAAGGTCATATCATGACTTTTGTATTGTTACAACAACACGGAGCAAAACTGAGGCCTGTAGCTTATTACTCATCCAAACTAGACAGTGTGGCATCTGCTCTTGCTCCATGTGTAAGAGCAGTAATAGCGGCCTCCATGGCAGTTGAGTGTAGTGCAGGTATTGTACTGTTTCATCCACTGACTCTGAAAGTGCCTCACTCTGTGTCTGCACTTCTGCTCCAGACCAACATGACGTTTCTCTCACCTGCACGCCATTTATCCTGCATGGCAACGCTGCTCTCACAACCACATTTAACTACAGAGCGGTGCAAGACTCTAAATCCAGCCACACTAATGCCTACATCAGATGCTGGTCAACCACATGATTGCCAACAAGAAGCTGAACAGCTGGCAAAACCTAGAACTGACTTAAAAGATCAACCATTAAATGAAGGAGAAATACTGTTTGTAGATGGTTCATCCAGAAAAGTCCAATTTGGAAAAACACAAACTGGTTTTGCTGTAGTTTCAGCAACAAAAATCCTTAAAGCAGGAAAATTACCTAACACCTTTTCAGCACAAGCAGCTGAAATTGTGGCTTTAGCTGAAGCATGTAAATTAATTAAAGACAAAAAGGTGACCATATACATAGTCAATATGTATGCTCCACAGTGCATGTGTTTGCTCAGCACTGGAAGAATAGAGGTATGGTGACGTCAACAGGCAAACCAGTGACTCACGCTCAACTTTTAACAGATCTATTGCAAGCTGTGCTGCTTCCAAAACTTGTAGCAATTTGCAAGTGTGCTGAACACACAGCAGGAAACAACCCGGTTTCACTAGGAAACGCCTTTGCAGACAAAACTGCAAAAGAAGCAGCTGCTTCTGCTTCAAACATTCAGCATTTAGATGCAGACTCAGACTTGACAGGAGAAATCCTGGCAGACATGCAGGACCAAAGTCCTGAATCAGAAAAACAACTTTGAATTAAAAAAGGCGCAACAAACACAGACAGCTTCTACAAATGACCAGAAGGGAAACCCATCATAACAAAAAATCTCTATAAGTGGGCAGCAGTATTGAGTCATAGTGTCACACATGTCTCAAAAAGGGGGATGGTAGAACAAATAGAAAAGCAATATACAACCTATGGCTTTAATAATTATTGCAAAAAAATTTTGTAGAGCATGTTTAACATGCGCAAAACATAATCCACAAACTTGAGACCTAAACGAGGCAAATTTCCAACGCCTGAATATCCATTTCAAAGCATTCATATGGATTTTATTGAAC